TGACAGCTGGCATGGCCAGCAAAACGTAACTTTCAGCCACCAATTAACGTATGTAATACAGCCAAAAACATCATAGCGTGGTGAAAACTTCGTTAACTATCAGTGTGCATTAATTATTATTGTGAATAGTAGTAGTGGTGAAAAATGGTGTTCGTACCTAGGGCCGAAAATGAGATTTTGCCGGCTCGAGATAGCTAGTTTTTAAGTTCGAGACGAAGTCGAGAACTTAAAACGATCGAGAGCTGCAAAACCATTTTTGGCCCGTGGTACGAACACCATTTTCACAACAATACTACTATTATACTACTGGCCCTATGTACGAAATATACTATTTTAACAATGTTATATCGTCGTTTGGCTGTATAATATCGTGTTCATCTATAAGAAATGTCTTCATAGTGACAAAAATGAAATATTATTGGATAATAAACTAGTTATTAAATAATCTGAGATTAGACTCATTCTTCAACTCTCAGTCCCTTCCTGAAATAAACTGTTATGAAAAATCTCAGCTTCGTAGATATCGGTCTAACGAGGTGTAATCAAATATGCTCAGTTTTTGCTGGATGTGAGGGAGACAGTTTTTATCGCGTTCTTAGTTTTTGCAAAGTGTGGGCTTATCTATCTCTGTCCTCTTGACACAAATAGTTTCCCTGGAAATTTCATATCACCCATAGTTTTTTTTTTCACGTAATATTTGCACTATAAGTTGTTCTATAACATAATAAATACAGTTTATTATTACATATATTGTATGATTATTGTTTGCACAAATCTACATTGCTACGAAGATATTTTCGCGTTGTAAGTTCTATAAAAAAATTATAGTAAAAAAAAAAAAATAAAAAAAATAAACTCAAGACAACAGGGAGTAGTTTGAAGTGTATTTTACTATTAATATGGATTTTATAAATGAAGTAGCAATCTTTTGTACCTACATTTATATCAATACAACATAGTTGAATTAGCCCCTTGCCAAACCTATGCTGCCGTCAAAATTCTATTTATAATTCTATATCAGAGTTTGATATAATTTTAGTTACATCTATAGTCAAAGATTTTATTCAAAAATATCTATACAGCATCCGTGCCCCAAACGTAGCCTGTCAAAAAACCTCCAAAAAAGTACCTCTAGTACCCTAGTAGAATAAAAACATTGAATAGTGTTATATGTTCAACGTTAAAAGTTAATGACGATATTATTTGTATCCAAAGTCAATGATGATACTAAAGTATTAAAACAGACAGACCATATGTACATTATGGACATGGATGATTTACAAGCATCCTCCCATATATGGGTTTTACAAACGGCCAGATTTGGTCATATATATATTTTTTTTAATTCACTTTTATTGTTTTTAGTAGGTACTTTACTTTAGGAGTCACTTTACTTAGGTAGTAAATCTCCACCCAACCATAGTTACACGGGTTGTTGGTAATTACTTAATTATTAGATCCTTTAATTGGTTGATTTTAGTGCAATTCAATTTACACTAACAGGGAAAACGCTGAGTCTTTTTCCCGTTCCACAAAACAACTGGCCCAGAAATAAGATATTCTCTTTCCGGTAGGCCTACACGCCATACCACTGGAGGATGAAACAGGGGATTAGCCAAATCATAGTTAATTAATTATTTAATAGCTTTTGAAGATTTATGTTTGTGTTTTAAGGTTTTAGACCGCCAAAACACGCTATGTCAAAAAATAAATTGGAAAACAACTCACAATTTATTGATTAATTATATCGAGCGCATTAGCACGTTTGTTTATCAACATCGAGCATATCATAAATACAAATTCCCTTGTCAATTTTGTAACATTTGTATGATAAGTAGCTTATTACATTATTGTTAGCTATAAGTTTGATATCTATGGAAATATGATCAACATTAGCGCAACCCAATCTCATGCCTATTCAGAAACACATTATTAAAAACTTCTTGAATTATTGAGATGACGGGATTTTGAGAAAGGTTGCGTTTAAAAATATCTAAAACGAAAAAGGAGAAACACGATATTGGGTTGCTGATTCTGTTAACCAACGTCGTCGTTGTCCACTGAAAGCTCGTCCAAAAAACCGAACACTTCATGTAAAAAGTTTCAAAGCATTAAATTGTAAAACGACTGTAAAAAAAATAAGAATTTCTCCTGGTGGATGAAAATGCTCTCACTTCCCTTGACAAAACCATCCAAAGTTGATCTTAAACTTTTTAGTACAAGAAAAAATGTCATCAAGTTTATGAACTTTGAAATAATTGTAAAAACAAGATGATGCATGGCAAGCTCGTCCTCCTTCAGATTACCTTTCCTGAAATTAGATCAATGTTTTTTAATGTTTTCAACAGTTGTTTGTCTATCCATACCTAAATTTTAATTTAGATTTAAGCTCATTAAGTTATCTAAAAAGTACAACGTATTACTCTGATGCATAATATGAATTTACCAAGCACCATTCATTTACACCAATTCATTTACACCATATAAATATACATTTTTCCAGTTTTTGTTTGTTTAATAATCTGTATAATTGAATACAGTCCGTAGCCACGAAGTGAAAAATAAGTTATTTAGACTTCTCATTCCATTGTAAATTTTGAAGCACGTTTTTCGTGTCTAGTTCATGTACGTGACACAAAGGCGCTAGTGTCGATGAAACTTTGTTTCCATTATTTTAGGGTTAATTTCTTGATTTGTGCTTTACTGTTTGGTTATATAACTAGGGGACAAGTTATTGTTTATGATTAGATCGCATTATTTGGTTAAACGAGGTTTTAAATGGTTGAATAACGGGAAACAAATTGTAAACAAAACACGACCTCTACATAAACCGTACATGAACTAACAATAAAATTGTCTTCAGCTGTTCCATAAGGATGAAAAATCTACTAAGGGAGTATGTTTTATCATAGACTAACCAACACAAGGTTTTATCTATGGTTATTGTTAAGGAATCACCAGTTAATATATTGCACATATTGAGAAGATTGAGCTCGTTCTAAAATATTTCTAATTTATGTATGTAAAGCAAAGTCACAGCACTCGGGGTTGGCTGGCTGGGATAGATGGTTACGCGATTACTACACTAAGCGTCCATCAAATGATTCAATAGTAAAAATTCATTTTACCTCTTTTGCGGATTATTCATCCTTTAATCTCTGCCTTAGTTGTGGCAAAGCATAAACGAGCATAGGCTCAGGTAAACTAGTTCAACCTCAAGTGGTGTACAACAATTTTGTCTAATTTCGCGTACGATTTGCGTGAAATCTTCACGTGCCATCAACAGAGAAATCGTTACAAGTTATGTCTGAGCTTCCGTGACTTCAACCACAGAAAACATAGCAACGGGTTATAGTAGTATATTTTCTGTGCTTCAACAGTCGTGCTTTTGGCAGTTTTTCTAATACAAATATATTTATTTTCGATTCATACTGAGATAAAACAAACGCAAATGAAAAATTTTAACAGGTTCGCCAAGGAAATTGTGCAGTCATCAGATTAAAAATTCTAAACCCATGTTCATTATCACGAAAACTTTCCTTAATAATTTTTCAAACAGAAAAGAAATGTTCTTCTTAAGCGAAAGCTCTTGCAACATTTTATTCAATTAGTTTTGTTGTTGTATACTAACATGTCCTTGTACATATACTTGTAGAATAAACATTTTATTCATTTTTCTCAATATAGAATTTTGAAACAAGCCCAGATTAATTCAGGTATTGGGTTTGCTATCCAATATGTCCAAGCTGAAGCACACTTCTTGTTTTACTTAAAGAAAACCTTATACTAAAAGAACTAAATGATTTAGGGAACTTCCTATAAACCACGCTTCTTTCTTTTCCTTCCGTTTCTTCTCTGTCGGTAGTGCAATGGAAATATGGTATTTTTAAATCTAAAACTAGCTACAAAACTTTAGCATGTTAAACCGGCTAATTTGCGATCCTTAGCCTAGCCAAGCCTACTACTTAATGGAAGCTTATAAAATTAATTACACCTCTAAGACTTTAAAGCGAAATTTAAAAGTCCATCAGTATAATCAGTCACAAAATAAAAACACACAGGGCTTAACCAGTTTATTTTATTTGTTTCGATCGACATTCGTACACGCACTTCTCTAGTTGGATCATAACTTAAGTTCTAAGTGAAGAGAAAGGATAATCGAATTTTAGATTTAGAGTCTATGATACTGATAGGCTTATTGAATTATTCATAGCTGTTTGTCACTCCCAAATTAAAAAGACTAAAAATTGTAAACTCATGAACACTGGCTGGCTTAGCTATGGGCAGCTGCCCAGCCTGCCCCCTATGTTTTAGCCGTTTGGCGGAGGGTAATTAAAATATTCTATACATTTTGAGATGGTGATTTAGGTAAACCAAAAATTTATCATGTTAAGTTTAATTAATTATCCAAGTCAAGCTGTGGTGTTCAACTATGATATAATTTTTTTATCCGTTACAAAATTGTGAGCGGCCAGCCATTTCGAAACACATTTAATTGCAAAATACTTGCACACAAAAATTCCAGCATACAAACCAAGTCACCAGTTTAAGTACGAGTAGAAATTTATAAAATAAAAAAACTCAAATTCAGTTTTCCAAAATGTATATTGTGATTTTTTGAAGAACCTTTAAACCAACAGAATCACTATGGTTGTATAGTTATTTAAAAGATGGTATAAAAACCAATGTTTACAAATTAAATTTCTGTTCAAATTTATGAAGAAATTTACCATTACCATTAACCTCCTAATTACAAGATCTAAAACCACTTCTACCCACATCCTAAAATCCAAGTCAGCAGGAAAAACCGTCAAAATTCCGCCAACATTCCCACACATTCCATGCATTATTAAAACCTTTAATTCAACCTACTTCCGAACCTTTTATTTAGCTAAGGATGGTCGTCTGCCAATAAATTAATACGGATCACTTTCACGGATCCAAAAAGTGAGAGCCGTGGAAGTGGAAGGGGAGTCGGCTGAGTCGTGGCCTAAGTGGATCACATCGACCAAGTGGCACGCCACGGCCAGGACCCGGTCAGTAGTTAGCTGCGCTCTGTCCAGACGACAACGAGACTGCGCAGACGCACTGAGGTAGGCAACACCAATACGCATGCGCACTAGTCACTCTATAGGTTACTCCTCTCTTATAGCTATACCACCCGCATGGATCAGGTTAGCATTTTTTTCTCTTCGATTTGTGTTTGAGTGTTTTTGTTTATTTGAATTATTGGTCTTAATAATTTTTTGGTAACACCCCCTGGATGCGTAATTTAAGCTGCGTGTAGACATTTTACCCCCATATTAATATTGAAGGTATTTGAACATAGTTTCCAAGAGTAAAATGTTAGTTATAGATTTTTTAATGTATAAGCCAATTTTTACTTGGCAAAATTTAAAGGTTCGTATCGTAAAATGTAGCATATCTCATATTAGGCCAGTCAATAACAGCATTCAACATCGCAAACGCGCATGTATCTACGATTTTTTAATATGTTGTTAGGTCCCCTAAGAGTAGTTTATACCCAAGTTTGCAACCCTGAAAACCCTGTGCTACTCCCATAATACATGAAAAACTGTAAAATTCTGGCTCTTTTTTTGTTTTATTGAAAAAAAAAAACTAACTGAAGGAAGCGTTTATCAGGTATATGTGTCTGATACTTTTTTAAAGTTAACTAAATTTGCAACAATTGGAACCTAGTCTGAGCCCTTTAAGTCCATTTCTTGCATTTCTGATACAGTTAGCTAAATATAGGACAATTTTTTCAAACATTGAAAGATTATCGGTAGGCTCATTTGCCAAGATGCGTACCGGCTGAAGTAATGGTCATAGAGAAAAGTCTTAAGGAAGCATTTTGTAGAGAATTTAATAAGCTTTAATTCAATTCCAAAGTTGTGTGTCAAGGCCTTACAGTTTCACAAAAGTTTTAAAATATAAAAATATTATATTTTGCATAAATGTTGTATTTTGGGTTGTGTTTCTTAAAAAGATTTGTAGTCTACCTTCAAGACATGCTTGGCCTAAAAAAGCACATGAAGTCAGACGAGTATTGCACGTTCACAGGGGGATCCTTCACAATACGTCACTCTGATAAGTTCTGGTCTGGTATGTGGACAAAAAAAAAGAAAATAAGAAAAAAATTGACTTTGCGTTAATGATGTCATCAATGTAGGTACTAACTACTGTTATTATTTATTTCTTTAAAAAGTGCAAGAATGTGAAATTGACATTTTATAGATGTAACACATGGCTTCTAAAAGACAAACAATTACTAGGAAATAAACTGAAAAATAAACAATGTATACATAACGTTCAAGCACAAAGAGAGTTTAGAATTCTGCCTGTTTGGAAGGGCCAGGTCTCATACAGTCTGGACAGCGGTGGGGTGAGGGGGAGGAGGGATAACGTTTTCTGGAGGTTGAGCTGGGTCATCAAATGGTGTTGGGTGGTCCACATCCTCATCTAGGACGATAGGAGTGATTTTGTTGCAATTTTGATTGCAGCGATGTAAATGCTGAATAGAAGGAAGATTTTGTACCCTTGCGCATTCCTTCTTCAGGGAATAAAGACAGTGGATACGGTGCTAGCTCATACGCAAAATGCTGCTTAAATTGTTCATCTGATTGTTTTGTGACGCAGACCCTCTGGAATATGGTAAGGAGATCAACATCAACTCTCTTGTTGAATACTTTTACAGACGTGGTGCCTGACGTCAAGGTCTTCACTTTGTCCTTTCGTTTTAAAGTCACTTTATTAAAGTTGTAACCAACAATTTGTTTCACTCCTCCTGCTCCCAGTTCTTAAGCTAAGTGGCAGTTGATATCAGGGCCTCTGACGATACCACTGTGGATGGAAAATAGGCGATCACTGACTGAATGGAGGGTGGGTGTTGAACCAGATCTTTATTTTTTTTGGTGTCTGCAGTCTCTGCAATTTGGGATACCCTCATATCAACGTGCTATTCTGATGTTAGAGTCGTAGTTTCAGTGAAACGTTCCACCTCCTCGCAAATGTTGAGCATGGAAACCATTCCTTGACCAGCGCACCAGCACACTGCTTGATATTCCCCGACCATGAGTTAGCCCACCATGGCTTTTCATGGACCTCATCAGTACGTGAACCATGGTCGAATCAGTCCACATACCAGACCAGAACTATTTAGAGCGACGTTTTGTGAAGGATCCCCCTGTGAACGTGCGATACTCGTCTGACTTCATGTGTTTTTTTTATGCCAAGCATGTCTTGAAGGTAGACTCCAAATCTTTTTAAGAAACACAACCCAAAATACAACATTTATGCAAAATATAATATATTTATACTCCGCGCCAAAGCTGGTGGCGGCTGAGGGATTAGGACGGCCAGGTAGGACTACATAGGTCGGACCTGCTCACCGACCTGGCCGTCCTAATCCCTCAGCCGCCACTAGCTTTGGCGCGGAGTATATATATTTTAAAACTTTTGAGAAACTGTAAGGCCTTGACACACAACTTTGGAATTGAATTAAAGCTTATTAAATTCTCTACAAAATGCTTCCTTAAGACTTTTCTCTATGACCATTACTTCAGCCGGTACGCATCTTGGCAAATGAGCCTACCGATAATCTTTCAATGTTTGAAAAAATTGTCCTATATCTAACTAACTGTATATTCGCAAGAAATGGACTTAAAGGGCTCAGACTGGGTTCCAATTGTTGCAAATTTAGTTAACTTTAAAGAAGTATAGGACACATATACCTGATAAACGCTTCCTTCAGTTAGTTTTTTTCAATAAAACAAAAAAAGAGCCAGAATTTTACAGTTTTTCAAGTATTATGGGAGTAGCACAGGGTTTTCAGGGTTGCAAACTTTGGTATAAACTACTCTTAAGGGACCTAACAACATATAAAAAAATCGTAGATACATGCGCGTTTGCGATGTTTGCCTTTTTTCGTGTAGATATTGACTGGCCTATATAAACTATCATTGTATACAAAACTAATAGGAACTGTAATTGCTTACTCTGTAAATGGCTTAAATGGCTTATTCATCTATATGTTCTATTTGAATGACAGATTTGCTACAGACACACCTGTAGATAGTATATGTATGTCTATCCTAGTACAGTATAAAATAAATGTTAAAGTGATGCACAACGAAGATCTATGTAGGCTATATGTTATTGACTAAAATCAGTTGTCCCTTTGACTTTAGCCAGGAACAGTTAATTTGTTGAAAGGCAATACAATACACACCACCTAAAAGCTACCTACTGACTTTTCTCAGGAACCGGTGACTTTTGGATTAAAATGGCAAGCACTGTTTAAACCTGTTTAACCTTTTGCTATTTTTTTTTGCAATTACGACTAAGTTGAAGCAATGTTGGGTTAGGTTATAGAGAAAGGAGGTAGATAAAACATTGTCCTTTTATTTCCCATACATAGATACAATTAGAACGCATTTAATTTCATGACATAATTTTAACGTTATAATTTCAAAAGTTCTAATTTTAACTAAAGTTTATGGTGCTGACTAAAAAGTGAGTAGGCTAATTGGTGGTCATCAGGTATGCGTGACTCTTATGTCCCGGTATTTTTGTCCGCAAGCAGTCCAAATGATGGTCCAAGATCTATAATGATGGTCCAAATAGTAATGTCAGTGTTTTGTAACTATAACGCTGCCGTATGCCCGTATCTAGTTCACTACCCATCGCTCACGGAGTTGTACCAATGTAGGGTTTCTTTAGGACGAACATAAAATGTATACGGGTTCACAGAGAGTTCTGGACTACTTATAGTAATCGGGTGCCGATTTTGAATTTGTAGGACCTGTATACATAATTATTTATGATATCGTTCTATTTAGTAGTAACTAGCGGGCTTCGCCCCGTTTGACTTCAAAAGTACTAATAAAAAACCTATTGATTGTCATACCGGCTTGGGTGGCATTTAGAGTAGATTTTCATGGTTACTTCGAAGAACAACGTTGGACTTAATAAGCTGTCAGGTCCATAAGTTGGCCCATAAAGAAAAGATTATGCATCTGTGAGGAGTAGGTGTGTTCTATTAAAATAACTTATTTTTTTCGCTTCCTCAGTTTAATATTCAACATAGAACCAAAATAGAACCGTTGACAATATACAGAATTTGACATATTCCATCCCTAATTTACGTTTTGACTAGTAAAAACCATGTGAAAAAAAGACTTCGTTTAAATTAGCCACGAGTACGCTTAATATGTCCAAGTACTGATGCCGGTTGAACACTGAACTTTTCAAGTCAAATTGAAAGGATAACTTAGGCCTATTGTTAGCTAACACTTTCCACATCAGCGATCTCCCTAACAAAAACTGAGGCAGAAAATGTGAATTTAGACAAGCACATTGTGAATGGTTATTCAAAAATATACGCCCCTTTTCATTTAAAATTGTATACAGTTTGTCCATATGGATGGAATGTTTACCTCTACAAAAAGTATCCAAAAGTGAATTGTAGAACGCAGTGGTCACCGCGGTCTCCCGGAACGTAACAGATAAACACATCAGGTCATGCAGGTTCCCAGAATCTCATTGTTAAAAGAGTTTTCAATGCAACAATGGAATCAGCTGATCCACATAACATTCCCAGCTGTGTGGACTACTTACACTTCAAACTCCAGTTTTGTAGTTTATTCATCCCTTACATAAATAATGTTACACCATTAGACTTAATGGCTTAATGGATGATGTAGGCCGTCATGCATTGAGTCAGAATTGGTTATAAATACTTGGATTTGTTTATAGTTTACTTTTCAATTGAGAAATTCCAATATTTAATTATAACATCTGGGCCTACTATTGTGTTGCTAACTAAATGCAAAGTATTTTTAGTGGTAAAATAAGGCTTGGATTGTAACATTGGTTTTAAGTAGTGCAAGTAGACTTCTCATATTGTTGTTAAAAAATCGTAATAATATTTGAATATGGGTTTCAAGTGTGCTACGTTTGAGTATGCTGACTACGTATGCATGCTGACGGAATGTTTCTATCTTATTTTAGAGTAAACTAGCTGTAACCCGCGGGCTTTGCCCCGTTTAACTTCTTAATTTTCAAGATGATCTCGTTCGCGTGGCTCAATCACGTTTAATTGAAACAGCTGTTAAGATTCATTAATTCCATTTCTCATAACATAGGTTAACATGGGAAACTCCAGAGCCACTGGGGCGGAGCCGATTGGACGGATCACGAAATTGATGGTGTATAAACCTATTCCATAAAACTCTACACGTATGTACCAAGTTTCGTGGCAATCGGTTCAGCGGTGTCTGAGTTTATCACTGCCAAACATATATATATATATGTATACAAACGTCCTCTTTTATACTTATAGATTTTACAGTTTTAGATTTATTATTTGCATTAGTAAACAAGCAATAGGAGAAAAATATTGTTGGATTTGGTTAAGTAGGCCTACCTAACACATCAATAGTGAAAAAACATTGTCTTAATTCTGAAATAACATAAAGATGATAAATAAATAAATGAATAAAAAATATGTTTGACCAATGTTTATAATTTATTTTCATTTCTTGTTCTCAGATGGGGCTGTTTACATTAGTGAGTAAAGTAGTGATCCTGATAGCGGTATCGAGGTTATGTTATGCTGATGAGCAAGATAAAGAAAAGCCTCAGGACATAGCCACTCCTCTGAAATCAGCTGTTCAACAATCAAATGTTCACTTTGAAGCGAGATCAGCTGTTGAGCCACATATCATTGATTCTGCAACCAAATCAGCTATTGATATATCAGCGGGGGATGAAATCAGTTCAACAGAAAATGATTCAGGTAAATGTCATACAGTATACAACAATTTATTTTTAAAACATCCTTATAATATTATACGTGAAGACGTTCTACGAAACACTACACCTCCGTTAATAATGGACGTATTTTAACAAATTATGTGTCAAAATTAAGTATTTTTTGTGTAGACGCCCACTTTCACAAATTTTTCCTGTAAAAAAAGTCCTCGAGTTTTGCCCCACAGGCCATCAAATTCCAACGCATTTCTTATGAAGAAAATATTTTGTTTACTTAACAGACAAATAATTTGTATTATTTACAGCTGTTAATAGTAAACACATGATACACACAAGAGCGTTTGGGTTCAGAGTGAGTTCGTTTTTAGTTTCAATAACTGGAGTGGAGTGATTGATTACCGGCACTACATTATCTTTGAGTTGACTCTTTTAAGTCATCGGAAATTATGACTGGTATTCGTTTTGAAATAACGCCTGTAATACTTTGCAATTTGCTCGAATTCGAGCAACAGGTGCACTAGTAATTATTTGTTACTTGTGTAACTATTGGCCTATCTTCATTGAGATAACTAAATTTTTGTATGAAATATATTTATCTACAGGTACATCTTACATAATTAAACATACACATCTTATATAATTATAAGACTTCTACAATTACAAAAAAAATTGAGCCTAGGTAAAACAAACTTCTTGAAATTTTGCTGTTTCTTAAAAATAGGAAATGTCAAATGTCTAGAATTTAGACATTTTTATGGGTATTTCCAATGTTGGAACGACATTTTTTATTCTTATTCTAATACCTTTTTTTATTCTTGTGAACTGCAAATAGTAATAAAATATTTGAATGGCATGGATTGAACCTTTGCCATTCTTGTCTTTATCTTTTATTCAGTTTTACTCCAAAATGAACAAGCAAGAATCATTTTGAGTTTGTACTTAACTAAGTTACCAACATAATTTCCAGAATCGAGAGGACATGGGATCAAAATCAAGAAAAAGAAGCCAAAGCTGAAGAAAGCCAAGAAGTATCTGAAGAAGTTCCTGCCTTTCCTCTTGATTCCTCTGCTGATTCAAGCTAAGCTGATTCCACTCTTCCTCTTCAAGCTGAAGCTGATAGCTCTGAAGGCTTTTGGAGTCGGCAAGCTGGCTCTGCTGCTGATAGCCATCAACATGATATACACATTGCTGCACAAGGGATCTCAGGATCAAGATCAGCACTACAGCAAGGTAAGAGGAAGAATACAAATAAAATAGACAAATATAAGATCTACAACTACTATTGAATTGCCAGCTGATAAGTTGACTTTGAAGTATTACAATTTTACTTCTTTTCTCCCAACCCTTGAACCCCATTAGTCTGTTAATTTACCATACTAGTGCTGTAAAGTAAGTAAATCATGCAGTAAAGTGAAATGTATGTCTGTGTGTTTGTAACACCATTTTGTAAGGGAACGGCCCAACCCCTGATCCATCTAACGTTGACCTTTAGTTTAGTATCAGTTAATAGCTCTATGGCATCTGGGGCCAGAGTCAAAAAAGATTCTTCTATTGAAATTGAAATGACATTGCACCTATTTGTAGAGTGTATTTTCACTCTGTGCTAAACACTGACTATGCCTCTATCAAACATTGCTGTATTCTTACCAGTAGCTAAATACCAAGCAGTTTTGATTAATGAATGATGACAGCTAACTATCATCTCTTTGATCTTGAACCACAAAGAGTAGGTTTCATCTGTGCATTGATGGCTTTAGACTCTGTTCATAAGACAGAGTTTGTCATTAGTCACTACCCAAAAGAATCTACCCAAGCATTGGCGATTTCTTCCATTATCCAATAAGAACAGCTAAATACAGTTCCGTCACCATACAGCAATGTCTTTCGATGACTCTTTAGCGCATGACATACTTTGAGGTGGGGTGTGGGTGATTTACGGTTAGAGTCGGAGGGGTCTCCTTCAGGCACCAATGGCTTTTAACTACTGAGAGAGACTTTTAAAGACTGTTTTGACTTGATAGAAATTTATCTTATGATACCATTCACCTATCTAGAAAAAAGTATGGATCTCTCAAGCTAGAAGAAGTCAAGATAGAAGCTAGAAGAACGGAGAACACTCTCCAATTAAATGTTTTTTAATTATTTAATCCTTTGAACTTGGACAGCTAATCTAAATTATTGTATGTGATTAGTTTCATGCTTGTATAGTTCTGGAGCCTGTAGATATCACTAGATGTGTTGGTAGACGTATCTACTTCAATGGGGTGATGTGATGACCTCCTATCTTTTTCATCCCTACAAATATCTTCTTTCCAAGGGTTGAACAATGTTTTTCCAAGTTTGCAATTCTCCAAAAGTCTGTCACATAATGAATGTTTCTGTGCAGGAAGTACTAGCCTCTGAACACTACGGATACAACGGAGGACCCGAGTATGGAGCTTGGGTCAACAAGAGGCTTTTCAACGTCGCTCAACCTTAGACCACCTTGTCTGCTCACTTTGCCATATCCAAGCCAAAGACTGTACATCGTTATTAATTTATTGAATAAATATTTTTAGTTACATTTAGGTATTTATCCCTTCAAAGACCAATTTGTACTCATATATGTTTTGCGATCAAGAGTTGAATGATCAATCGGTGAAAAAATAGTTCATTTTACATAAGACGGTACTGAAGAAAAATCAGTCTATGCAGGGGTGCCCATCCCCCCCTAGACTCATGACGCACCCCCCCCCCCCCAATTGAGCAACAGCCCCCCCCCCCACCATAAATTATGTACACAACAAATGAGAAACATTATTCCCCCGCCCAGCACTATTTGTAAAACTATAAAAGAAGTTTTATAATTTTTTTAGATATTTAAAATTCAAACCCAGTTAATCTATATAAATAAAGTTATGGTTTTGTCTGTACATTGCTCAGAATTATACATATTTGGGTTATTTTTACGTTTTAAGAAGAAGTTGAAACATGTCTTATCTCAATTTATGTCAGTCTGTCACGGCCCAGAAGGCATTTTACGCAGCCTACTCTAAAGAAAACTAGAGTACCGATTATGATTCTAATGGTTTAATTGTATCTACAGGATTGGGGAGAGTGTCCTTATAGCCATTAAAATATGGCCTCACTATTTTGGAAATAAAATAACGGACGATAAAAATCCCAATTTTGTGTGAATTTCTAGTTCATTTTCTCCATGTTTACTACATACGTCATTTATGAAATACTACTCATCTGTTAAGAGAAGACGTCTTGAAATTACGAACAGCTGTTTTGATAAAGATTCCTTTTTCTTGCTGTCACTGATATATCTTACTAATATTATAAATGTGAAAGTTTGTGTGTTTGTTTAAAGTTCAATCACGCATTAACTAATGGACGGATTGGGCTGAAATTTGGCATGATGATAGCTCAATTAACTATATGTTCTTATCTCAAAAATCCTTTTGGGCTCCGCCCCAGTGGCTCTGTAGTTCCCCATGTTAACCTTATGAGTTATGACTAGTTATGTGAACCATATTTAAAGGGAATTAAAGAATTCAGTCAGCTGTTTCTACTAAAAAAGTTGGTTCTATTAAAGTATATATCTATTTAAGTATATATAAGTATTATAAAGTATTAAAAAGTTATAAGATTTACTAACAGGGTGCAGACCTATTATTTTTTTTACATTTATGAAAACAGCTAATTTGAACTAAGCAGCAATAAAAAACTGTGATTGGCAATGAAAACAAACTGTCAAAGTAGGATTGTTTACAGTTATGTTTATGTTTTTAATTGCATGAATAATTTGTGATATTTTGCGAATTTTTACTTTCTCCTCCTATACCATAGAATATGGAGAAAGTATTGTTAATAGTTTATTTTTCTTTATTGATCAGGTGAAGTGGTAGAACATTATGGCTATGGTAGATGTGTATTGTGTAATACTATACTATAGTATACCGTAAATTTAAAGAAGCAAATTTTATCAAACTGTGTCCTCCCCCATTGCAAACGCTAAGTTAAGAGTATAACTGCAATACTGTAAGTATTTTACACTTAAATGTCAACTCCGTATGAAGGACGGGTACTCTGCTAGTGTTTACATAAATGTTGTTTACGAATACTGTGTAGGCCCTAACCATTTCCGATCACGTTTTTAAGCAAATCCAAAACCAAGTGAGATTAATAACCGTGTGGCTTTGGCTTACATAACGGGTTTGATTATCACGGGTACTAATATGTAACTGTAAATTAAATTAAATAACTAGCCATCATCCAGGTCGGGAACCGGAGATTCTGTGTGTATCAAGTTGTACTTGAATTTTGATTACTGGGAAAAGGGGAAAAGACCGTGCGAATCAGTGTTTTACAGGACTGGAAAACTTAGCTTTCTATATAAATAAAATTAGAGTTTTATAAGTCACCTCAATTCAAGGAATTTTTTATTGCTAGAACAGAATATCCATATAGCGTGCGTAACCTCTGTTTAAGAAATTGTCAGCGTCTTTCTCTTGATATAACCATAACGATCCCCTCTCCCTCCCTTTAGAAACATTACAGCTCCTTTGATGAAAATATGGAAACAACGCTTGCGTTGCGCCAACAATCGTCTGCTCCGTTTTACACTTCTGTCTGCTGTGCGCTATGTTACAACAGATTTCAGATACAACAGCTGGGGAATGATGACGATATAATGCTTAGTAAACTGTGATTGAGTGATTAGTAACCATGGTAACTTTAACTTTAGTAAGACTGTGATTGGCTAATGAGTAGGCCTAAATATGGCGACTTGTTGAATTTGTGTATGAATTGAAGAGAAACCTATTAAATAACAGAAGAACAAAGAAAAAGAATAACAAGATTGTTCTCGTTACATTCTTTTTTAAGAGTGTTTTAATTATCTCTAAATATAATTTTACCCTTTTTTATTACTTATCTATCAATTCCTATGCTGTGATACAGCACCTATTGGTAGCCTATCTGTCTATCATGAACAGTACCTTATAACACTTTCTAAAGGTTCCTATAATATTTACGTTATTTAATAGCAATGCAGTGTTTGGTTAGTTATTAGTTGAGTTTGAGTTAGCTATAATTTTAAACGTTGCCGTTTGTACAATTGAACAAAGATAAATTATTTTAAATTAACAATAATAATGTTATTGCACAATAATAATGATTGTGCAATATTGAATTTCGTTTATAAGAATGCAAATTGTAACGTTAATGGTTGTTTACAGCGGTGTTAAATGGGTTTAATGGGTGGTTGTTTAATTGGTTTGTCATCTGTGTTTATACTATATTGGATTAACCGTATTTTTCATTACTCCCCCTCATATTTAGGCCTACTCATTAGCCAATCACAGTCTTACTAAAGTTAAAGTTACCATGGTTACTAATCACTCAATCACAGTTTACTAAGCATTATATCGTCATCATTCCCCAGCTGAACTCCCTAATTAACTCAGGTAATCGAGTATCTACACAATAGTGTTAAGTATTGTAGCCTATGCTACTTGATTGTATTTTAACGAGCTTTATGTCTACAAAGCGTTCTGTGCTAAGTCGCGGTGTAGCTGGACGTGTTTGTACCACGCGTTATCTTTATCTATCTCAGCAGTTGAGCTAGCCCGTGCGCTCCCTCTTACATCTCACGTCTTGCTAATCTTGAATAATAACTTTCTACACGAATCCTAAACCATCCTAAAATCCTATTTAACTAATTGAATTCAATAATATAACTATTGTCATTAATTAATCCACTTTCTATCAGGCGACTTTGTAATATATGTTGGATTGTCGTCACGTTGCAAATAGCTTTAGCCAACCCCCCCCCCCCCCCCCATTTGAATTTTTTGAGCCCCCCCCCCAAGAATTTCAATGACGCAGTCTGCGTCACAGCCCCCCCTTGTGGGCACCCCTGGTCTATGTTAAAATACTAGATGGTAGGTTTGCCTTGCAGAGCTAACATAGACTGTCTTTGGGAGACAACCTCATCATTGAATGGTTGAAAAAACTGGTCATGATTCAGATATGTAGTAAATGTTATTATGTGAGAAAGATTTTATTGTTTAATGTAAACAAATGTATACATCCCTTGATGGGAAAACCCCAGCACATTCCTCCTTCCGTTTATAATGACAAGAATTTAACCAAAATCTATGCAAGTTAGTTTTTGAGCATAATAATTACTATTGATTTGCTATGTAAGTATAAAATACATTATTTTTAATAAATATACTCTAACCCCAAGTAAATGAAAATCTACAATGTATAATTATAATATTATAGTTGATAAAGAAATAAAAAGGCAGCAGCCAAGCAACTCTGGCTGTAAAACAAGTTAATTCCTTTAACTAGATCTTCTCCCCTTGATTGTTATCGTCACTGTATCATTAATTATACATAGCTTGAGACAACGAAACACACAATCTACTCGTTATTTGCCATTAATTTTGAAACACACTCTCTATAGCAGTAATGTGTAAATACATAATTCTGAACCAGAAAAATATTCACACAGTAGAGGTTCGAAATAAAATAACCACAAAGTTTTTTTTTTACTAAAAATGTATTAGTTTTGGCACAAAAACAACATAATTGAGGTAGGCCGCATTAACCTAGCTGTTACTGAATAAAATATAGTTTTCTCCTCTACATTTGAGCAGTTGTAGGAACTTTGACTTTATATTTACAATTCACAATATTGACAAGTTAATCAACACAACACGGAGCTATGTAAAAGCGAGATGACTAGAGAGTTTTGGTGATGGTGGGAGATTTGACGGGAAGTAACAGTTGAGGGTCCCTCTCGTCTTCCTCCATCCAAGGTATCGACGTTATGTGGTGGTCCTGAGACACAAACAATAAAAAATAGTTATAGCATTGCATTAACCATACTCTTTCCGTTATGAAATAGTAACAGTTGATTAATGTGCGATAAATCACAATATCGTAAAAATATCAATTTAAATTTACCAAAAATTGTTTAAATGAATGTTAGAAGATGACTATGATGCATTTTGAACTGGTGAATACTGGCATATATTACAAATGCATTGCAGCAATTCATCTTCAGAGCAAGCTACTGTTTCAGTTAAATTGTAGTGATTCTCAAAGATGGATTATTACAGTTCATTCAAACCGTTACCGTCGTTAGCCACTTTTTTCACCTGTTCAACAACACAGCTAACTTCCGAAGAGCACGATTAAACATAAGCGGTGATCTTCAATCGTAGGCTTAAGGAGCCGGTGTCATCACTAAAATCAGTCTCAGCTTTGCCAATGAGGATAACACATAATGTAATGGGCGTCTCGTTTTATATATGGTGTAAATACTGATTTGACGCAGCCCTCACCAGAAGATTGAGAATTGAGTGATCAACGTTGATGTTTAATTTGCGTATGTTACAAGTATGGATAGGATAGTTATCAATTACATACTACTACATGAAAAATACATTATGGAATGGAATACCAAATGTACTAATAGTCCAGTCAAGTTAAACACCCGTGCGTGCAAAAGGTCATGTAGTTCTAGTTTTTTAGTATGTTGTTAGGACCTATACCACAAATAAG